ATATGAATGTTTGTGTTCAGATCGCTATGAGTAACTAAATCCTCTATCTAGGGTTAGGGGATTGTCGTAACAGGTTTCGAAATTTGCGCCAGGTTTCTTTCTTGCCAAGAAACATGTTTCTTGACAAGAAACTGGTTTCTTGCCAAGAAACTGGTTTCTTGTGCGAAAAAACTGGTTTCTTGACAAGAAACTGGTTTCTTGCCAAGAAACTGGTTTCTTGAGCGAAAATCTGGATTCTTGCCAACAAACTGGTTTCTTGCCAAGAAACTGGTTTCTTGAGCGAAAAATTGGTTTCTTGCCAAGAAACTGGTTTCTTGCCAAGAAACTGGTTTCTTGCCAAGAAACTGGTTTCTTGAGCGAAAATCTGGATTCTTGCCAAGAAACTGGTTTCTTGAGCAATCACCCAAAATCTGTGAACATACCTATTCATCGCCGTGGCCAGGACCAAGAACTTCTCCGCGGCCGCGACCACCATCCGCGGCCGCGAGACACATCCGAGGCCGCGAGACACATCCGAGGCCATGATATATTTTGCGCTGAACTTGACATTTGGGACACAAAAAATACTCGCCGCGGCCGCAGCTATGAAACACCCCGCGGCCAAGACCACTTTTTTTTTTTTTTCCTTAATTTTATTCATTCAAAATTTTAGGGACTTCACACACTTCACTTCAATTTTCAATCATCTTAAAAATAACTACTACAAACATAACAAAACTACACACATAAATATGTCCCATAAAGTTATTACATTAACCACACACAAATCAATCATACAAATTACAACACAATTATGTCTTTCCACAAACAAAACATTCATTTACGATCCATAAAAAATAAAATATAAATGGAAAAAAATGCATATAAACTAGGTAATGTTTTGAGGACACTTGTTCCTACGGTGGCCAGGTTGCTTACATTTACCACACAAACGAACTTTGGTAGCGGGACGTCCAGATTGAATTGGTTGCTCAACATTTTGGACTAAGGCAACACAAGTTGTAGAGTAATGCCCACTTTCGTGGCATCGTGTACAAAATGATTTACTTCGAGAGCTCGAAGAAGGGCCAGTAGAAGGTATGCGGTTTGACCTCGGTCTTCCGGCTTGCTTGGGATTAATAAGGCATTTGACAACCATCAAATTAGGTGATGTAGTTAAGTCCCAAGTACTTGGATGCGCAATTGGCATGATTATGGGCTCGTAAAGTTTGCGCCATGTTGTGGTCTTGTAGTAGTCGTGCACATATCCATACACCGATTCGTTTGCCTTCCTAAAAATAGTACATGCATAGAAAACATTACCACATGTGTAAGATAAAAATATGTATGTAAACGTTGAGACTTTTATTAAATTAAATAAAAAATGAAAAAATTACCCGATAGCCTTAATCGCATGTGAACAGGGCAATAAATCCACCTGAAAGAGATAACAAGTGAATGTCCGATCATTCAAATTGACGACAAAATTCTTGACCCCGTCCTTCACGTGGTAAATGTAGTGATTGATTTGAAGCTTCCATTTGGTCTGCTGCAGTTTTATAATCCATTAAACGCTTAGATATTGATGGAGGAACTTCACACTCAATCTTTTCTGTCTCGACATGTCTTTTGTGAAACCACTCTTGCATAATGTTTCGAATACATTCAAACAATGAGCAAACAGGTAATTTCCTTGCCCAACGCAACCTATTGTTAAGCACCTCACAAGCATTTGACGTCATGAAACTATATCGTCTCACAGGACATTGACTTCGTGCCCACTAGTTGGAATGGCTTCAATCAAATCCTCCCATGTTTTATGATGTTTTGCTGCAAGCATGGCCACCGACTTTTCGTACACAACGGGAGAATAAGTGTATGAAGCTTTTATATATAAACCAACAGCTTTAGACCCGTGACTTCGAATATTTTGTCGAAGGTGGTAGGAACATATGGCATGTACGGCTTCAGGGTAGACAGCCTCCATAGCAGACTTTATGCTCGGGTGGCGATCAGAAACAATTACTAAATTTTCCGGACATCCGAAAGTGGAGCGAAGCTTTTGGAGAAACCACATCCACGCACTATGACATTCCTTATCGCCGATACCAAATGCCAAAGGAAAAATTTGTTCATTTCCGTCCTTTGTAGTTGCTACAAATAAGATGCCTTTATACTTACCCTTCAAATGCGTACCATCAATCACAATAACGGGCCGACAATAACTGAGGAAGCCTGCAGACGCATGAAAAGAAATGAAAGCATACTCAAACACGTCATGTTTATCTGTCTCAATGTATGCCGATGTTCCAGGATTTTCCTTCATCGACATATGAAAATACGCCGGCAAAAGTTCCCAGGATTTCTTGTGATCTCCATAAATAAAGTCGTAGGCGGCGTTTTGAGACCTCAGAGCTGTATCGTATTTTAGCTTAATTCCATGATCACGCTTCATGTCACCCATAATCTCTACAGGCTTTAATACTCGGCCCTCTGTCAACAACTTCGGCGCGAATAATGCTCCAATGATCTTTGCAGGCAATTGTCGAGGGGCTGAATGATTTAGGTTAACTGAGCATGTATGTGGATGGATAAATTTTGAAATTTTCCAACTACCTCTAGTCAGTGCATTCGCAGAAAGCAAGAATGGGCAATTTTTATGCTTGCACACAACCTTTAACCTAGAATTTGAAGATCTCGGTGTTCGAAACTCCACTTTATGCTTCAAATGATATAAATCCACTTTTACCAACAAGTCTTCCTTACTTTCAATGACAACGCCTTTGGCTAATTCACGGTCTATCATTGACGGCTCTTCAGACGAAGGATGAACATCAACATTGTGAAAATTGGCTTCGGGAATCCTCCAACCGCTACTCGAACGAGTAGCGATTTCATTCAAATCGTCCTCTTCAATAGCAACCCCTCCAGAAAGGTCAAGCCGAGGAACATTGTGGATCGCTATACTCTTCTTGTTGCGTAGAATATGCTCATTTAAACCACCCATCATGTTTGAGGGGGACAACACATTGTCGTCGATATCTTCGTCTTCTTCAATTATGAAGTCCGGATCATCAATGTTATCATCCATCTCATTTAGGAGATCATCATTGCAAGGATTATCGTTCATGTTGGTCTCATTATTGTAAGGATCACAAAATTTCTCGTTATCAAAACCTTCATCATCAACTTCATCATCACCTTCATCATCAACTTCATCATCACCCCCATCATCAAATTCATCATCAACTTCATCATCATGACCTTCACCATCACCTTCATCATTCCCAGTTGAATACCCATTGAACCCGCTATCCACACCCCAATCGACATGTTCGGGAGAATGTTGTGAGGCACCGGGTTGATTTGATTCTACCCTTTTAGAGGTGTCAGGCACCATGTTGTCATTATTCGTCGATTAGATGTTGATGGTTGACTCATAGGTGGATACACAGCACCATATGGATAGAGAGGTGGGCCCTGAGCGGCAAATAAATTCATAAACCCACCTGGATAGCCATACGAAGGGTACATTGGTACACTCGCCTGAGTATACGGACTTGGACTATGTTTCGGTTGTAATGTGACATAGATGGTAGGTATTGTGAACATGGCAGACACATTTCGCATATCTGATTCACAAGAGATACGCCATTTCTCCACCTCTCCGTTATCACCGGCCACTAAAAAGTGAAATCGATAGTCGCACATGTTTATATCTCCGCGAACAATGTCATGAACCCTATTCATGAAAGCTTCGTATGATGACGTCCTAAGACAAAAAAAATTCATTTCTGTCTCTCCATTTTTGTACACATTCCCATCCCAAAAACCACTGTGAACAATTCGCACTTTACCAACGTTCATCTGAAAAAATTAAATAAATAAAAAAAATATTAATAAAAAATTCATAAACAGTTTCTTAGGAGCAAAGTTAATTGAGCAAAAAATATGTTACATCTTGTTCAAGAAACCGTTTGATGCTCAAGAAACCATTTTCTTGACAAGAAACCCGTTTCTTGTCAAGAAACTGGTTTCTTGTTCAAGATACCTGTTTGATGCTCAAGAAACGGGTTTCTTGTCAAAAAACTGGTTTCTTGTTCAAGAAACCTGTTTCTTGAGCATCAAACAGGTTTCTTGCTCAAGAAACTGCGTGTTGAACCGGAAGAAAATGTTTCTTGACCTTTCTTGTTCAAGAAACTGTTTTTTTTTTCACATAAATTGTTTATTCTTCAATAATAGATTCTTCAACTCCTAAAACTCCTAAATGTTTCTTGTCCTCTTCTAACACACAAACCCTCTTTTCAAGCACAAAAAATCGATTTTTTTAACTCTAAATAAATATTATTTCAACAAAATAAAATGGTGCAACACAAATCAATATTTTGGGAACAAAAATATAAAAATCTATTTCGAATTCTTTTTGATTAACATAATAAAAAAAAATTAGGTTTAGATCAATGTACCTTTTTTCTTCTCTAAAAGGGATTCACTTG